CCGTGAGACAACTACTCTCTAATAGAATTATTTCCATTGAATATGTGAAGTCTAAAGGCAACATAGCAAATCCACTAACCAAAGGGTTAGCAAGAGAGTTCGTTGAGAACTCATCGAGGGAAATGAGACTTAAGCCTATTAATTAAGAGTTACCACAACGGAAACCCAACCTAGTTGACTGGAGATCTCAAGATCTAGGTTCAAAGGGACAACCGAGTTGTATATGACTCACTAGGATCACAAAGGAGTCAAACTCCTACCCATTTCTATGATAAAATAGTGATGTTTGCAACGGTTTAGGTTAAGTAATACTTTTAATGAGTCTTATATCTAGGTATACCTAGCGGAGTATGGCAGGATACTCTTCATAAGAATCACTTATGTGAGTGTGAACTGGGCCGGTTTTATGAGATTCGTGAAGGGTTACAATTCTTTAGAGCACTTATGAAAGACCAGGTTGTTCAGGGCCAAAATGAATATAATAGTGAGAACTAAACTGTGTCTGGTCATATACTGTGTGAGTTCTATTGTCTTGGTTTACACAAACGGCTGAATAATTCAAGACATCATGTTCACTGGTTAGCTAGTAAATCCGATAGTGTCTCATAAGGGAAGGTTCAAAGCCAAAAGCTACTTATCCGTTGTAGAATACTTCCAATTTCTGTACTTTCTGTATTTAGATCATGTTGTTGCATTTTCTCTCCGTCAAATTCCATTCATGTGGGGGATTGTTGGAAAATTGATTTTTTATAAGGCTTATTTTGGGCAACTTTGAGCCCAAAATTGAGTGGGCTCCAAACGTCTTTTCGGGTAGGTCCGAAGAGATGACGTGTTCCTTGACGCATGACAAGTCACACGGTGAAGACGGTTCGTCAAAACCATTTATGAGTGAATGAGAAGTTGACGTTGTTTTCGGGTTCGTGGAATTGGACATTTAAAGAATTAAATGTGGGTTTCCTTGAAATGGATTGTCCTACATTGAACCTTTAAGAGAGCTTGTGTATGTATATAAGCTCTAGAGTACAATACTTGGGTTAGGCCCCAAGGGGCACCCCAAGTTTGTAGAAGGGAGGAGTTATAGATAAAATGAACCTTAGCCCAAACCACCACACACGCGTGCGCCGCCACCGCCGCGCGTCCGACCAGTCGGGTTGGGTCCGGTCGGTTCTTGTATTAATTTTTTAGACAAAATTTATTTAAATTTTTTTCAGAAATTCTTAATGAAATTAAATTCAAAGTTTTCTGTCCATATTTTGCCTTTTTCTGTCTGAAATATCTAACTGATTAACTGCTCTAAACTGCTGCAGTTATACAGATTATCTGCCCAGTTCAAACAAGTTCATATAGTTCGGACAGATCAACTATTCCAACAGTTATCTGTTTGAATAGTGCTTGCACCTATCCAATTTAAATGTGCATCTGTTCACTTCAAATTAGCACCTGTTCGGACAGAATTTTTGCCTATAAATACCAATTTAATTCCAGCAGTTTGGGGAATCAAATATCAATCTGAAAAATATTTTTTATTGTTGTCTCTGTTTGCATAAATTCTTCATATTAGTCTTTAGGAAAATTAAAGAGAGTATAGAACACAAGGTTCCAGCTCACCGGACAAATTTGTTTGGAGTGCTACTACAAATTTGTGAAGATTATTGTATCTTGGGAGATAGACGCCAGTTAACCTCAAGCACCGTAGCAGGGTGAATCTGTCTTAAGGATAGAGTGTCACACACTCGACTTGGTCTTTAAATATTCATTCAGTTCGGTAAAAATAAATTCGGAATGTAATTTATTTTATTTGTTTGATTTGTTTCTATTTATTTATTTTTCACAGAAGATTGTTCCAACAGTTTGAGCCCTGGGGGTTGATCATATGCCTTGTTTAGATAATCATAATTATTTATTTTGTTGGGCATTTTGTATATATTATTTATACAAAAAATTAGACTGAATTGAAATCGTAACATGTTCAATCTATTGTGTTTATAAAAAAAAAAAAAATAGATGGTCTATTTAAAAAAATACAATTATCGTTCATTTTTCTTAAAAACAAATGCGATAAATTGAATACGGCACAATTATTAAATGAATTTAATTTTATCATAAATAATATACACAAAAGGCCTACGAAATGAACAATTTAAATCATCAAAATGGAATCAGTGATAGGCCACATGGGCCCAAACAACAAATTCTAAGTCCAAATCTTAGCCCCACATCATGTTCTACTGAATTTTCTACACCAAAAATCCTATTAAAATGAAGATTATAGGCCACATGAGCCCAAACAACAAATTCTAAGTCCAAATCTTAGCCCCTCTACTGAATTTTCTACACCAAAAATCCTATTAAAATGAAGATTGGAGGAATGGAAGCCAATAGAAGATTTTAGAACCTCCTAGAGAAATTGAGAAAGTAGAGGAGTCCTGTATAAATAGTAAGGGGTTGTTTGGGGTGTCCTAAATAAGTGCACTTTTTATCTTTTTGGACTAAAAAATTGAGGTTGAAAATATGGATGTTTGGGTTAACTTTTTGACTTTTTATGGAAAAATGTGTAATAAAAAATTGTAAAAATTGATTTGTAGAGAAAAATTCGAATTGAGAGTTGTGCAGCCGTAATTGTTGACTTTTGATGAATAGTGTTAACTTTTTAACTTTTTGAGTAACTTTTTGACTTTTTAACTTTTTTACAAGTTCCCAAACTTGGCCTAAATACTGATAGTTCTAGAGAGTATTTTAAAACATTCTTGTAAGGTTGTGAAAAATTTCCATTAAACATTTGCATACCTCATCTCTTGTATATTCTAGAATGTTCCTAGAAGGCCAAGGTTACCTATAAATAGGAGAGGACCAAGGTTGCCTATACATTTCACCCGTATCTTTTCTTTTCCTTTGCAAATCTCTGTCCAAACACAACATGTAATGTAATGAACAAAAAATTGATAGAAAAAGATGTGTATTAATTAAAGAGTCCAACTCTTCTTCAGTCTGGAAACGGATTAGACAATGTTTTTGGGCTGCGGTGGACTCATATTGATAATTTAAACCATCTAATGTGTAGAGCTTGTGGAGTACATCATTCTTGCAAAAAATCACGTTAATCGGACATCAATAGTTCCTTGATCAGTTTACATTTGTGTCTGCAATTTATTTTAAAAATCCTAATTGTTGTGATCAAATGGTTATCGATACCCAATTAATATAATATTTTAAAAGAGATGATATACTCAACGAACTCTATATATTGAACTGTTTGGATTGTCGAGATGAGCTTGGAATCGGGCCTACAACAACCCAATAACATTGTCCAATTCAATTTTGGACGGAAGAGAAGCTATGACCTCAATTAAACAAGTTGTAAGATTGGAGCGAAGGTAGTTGCTTCCATCAAGTTCTGAAGTTCTAGTTTTAGATTGTCCAACTCATCTATAGCAGCATATATGTGCAAGAAAAAAATGTCAAATTTAACATTAGTGCTAAAATCTAAATGGCTTACTCACCATTCACAAGTCCATTCATCTTTTCCTCACTGATTGTCATATGCACAATAGCCATCAAACTATATGCAATATTTTATGCCCTGCACAATCAACCTAATTGTACTCGACACCATCCAAAATCTTCTTCCCTATAACATTGGCCTAAACAGTTTCAAATCCGGAATGTGGCAATTTTCCTTGCATTTTGGCCTTATACAATTCCTTCATCGTCCTTTTGCACAGTTGCTTCTTTGAATTCAGAATTTGTAATTGCGGAAGCCGGCTGAGTTGCTAGTTACTTGGCTCCCCATGTTCATGAGAGACTAATAGCTCAACCAATTCTCGTAAAGGAGCATGCGAAATGAAATCAGCAGGTTCCTCCCATGCATCTTGTACCTCCATCCTTGGAGCGGAATTGATACTAAGGAACGATGATCCTAAGCATACTCTCCCTTTCCTGGGGACTGTAAAATTATTTTTTCATTATTTTTTAAAATTTTAAACTATAAATTAGAATTCAATATACAATCGATTAGACTACCTTTTAAATCATTGTTGGCATAATCTAATAAATAAAAGGTAAATTATATTGACTTTTCATGAGATTTGGTGATAATACAGCAAGCTTTACATTTTGACATTGTTATACCAATGGCTCTTTTAATGAGGCTAAAGGAATCAGAGCTAATATCGTAAAAACATAAAAATAAACCAGATATAACATTTATTTCAGTTTAAAAGATATGACAATATTATTTTTTCATCTATATGACTAATAAATTATTGATGAAAAATGCGTCAAATATTATGTGAGTTAAACTAAACCTAAGGAAAACCCAATGTAGTTAAGTCAAATTTATAGAGTTTATTATATTTTTTACAAATTTTATGAGAGGTTAATGTAATTTACTCTAATAAAAAATATACAAAAAAATATACATAACTTTTTTATTTTTAAAATAGAAAATAAAAAGAAGTAAAATATATATCTTTTACATATACAATGGACTTGATGAAATTGATACTATAAATCATATTGTAAAATAGTTGGAGATCATCTCATTAAACATTATAAAATTATGATGAAAATATAAAATTAATAAGTGATTTTCATAAAATTATGGAATTATTTTATTACATATTTTATAAATATGCATAAATATATAGGTACTATTTTGATTCTTAAAATATTGGGGACCATCCCCAGCCCAATCCCTCTGTGCGTCCTCCTCTGGGCACTGCTGATGATACTGCCAATCTTCAACCAATTCATATTCCACCGTGAACTGCCCAATCTTCTGGTGGTGTTTACAGGGAGAGGATAAAATGATCACTTAAATTCTAAGATAATATCAAACGCAATAAATTTGGCATACCACATAGCAATAGACTTCGCATTGCTAACCATGGAATGCAAATATCATTTATCAAATTATTTTTCATCGCATTTTGTACTGCCTACTCATAGGACCCAACAAGACTTATAAAAAACGACACCAAGGAGAGGAGAATAGAGAAAGATTCGAGTAGAATTATGCTAATTTATTTATGCAGTGTATATCATAGTGTTGATACAATTCAAAAAGAAGAAAAACTTAACAGTTCCTATTTCATTTGGTTATTGATTACATTTCATTTACATGAAGTAAGACAAATTTGTCAGTTGTACAATCTCAACAGTATTGTTCTAAGCTCAATCCAGACCCAGCCATAGGCCACTCTGTCTACTCATCAATACCTTGAACAGCATCCTGTATATCACAAATAACACAAGAAATTAAGCCACCACAGGACCCCAATTGTTAACTTTCATTTTGGGGGGTGGGGGGGTGGGGGAGATTGATGCAAATCTTTTTCTAGTATTGTTTGACAACTTGCAGGTTAAATCTTGCTAGTAAGTTCAAATTCACAAACTGGAAATATTGTGAAGCAAAAAGAAAAAAAGAAATTTACTTGCACAACCTCTGCTAATTGGTCCTCAGCGTGTTAACTTTTGATTTGGTAAAATAAGTTGATTTAGGATTCATACAAGTAGATTTCAATTTCTAGTGTGATCATATTATTATGATTCTGAAGGTGCTCATGAAACTACTACTATATTTAGAAACATCTATTTTTCACATAAAGAAATACATATCCACTTTCCAAGTACTTCTATGCAGACAGAACTTACAGGAAGTTCACATAGATAATTATGGGGTAGATTAGTTGTGCCTGTTATTTTAGAAAAAATGACCATCCAGCCCATATATATATATATATAAACAGTTGACAGAAATTCTTGTTAAAATCCTCCTCATGAATCATTTTTCATCAGTTTGTGTATGAGGTTCTTTGGCCATAAGAATTCTTTACGGGACGAAAATAAAAAGTAAAATGTTAAAACCTAAAAGTAGCGGAAGAAAAAATAATCTATGCGACACTGGTTGAGGCTTGTAAAGTGAATTTAGAATATCAAATTTTTAATAAATAAAAGTTGGAGCCAGCTCTTTCTTTTATAACAAGGTAAAGAGAGATATATAGATTCATTCATTAGAAAACAATAATCAGATTAATATATGTAAATATGAAGAAAATACGGGCAGAGGCATTACCTTAGCTAGCCTTGTAACATAAGCTGCAGCCAGCGCTGTTGCCAATAGTCCTACGCCAAGTGTAATTAGCTGACTGTTTCCGCCGGGTAAACCCACATCAGATTCTTCTTGCTGTAACATCCCAAATTCAATATTGTAAGGCCCTGTTTGGGATCAGCTAAAAAGCTGCCAAAAAGCAGAAGTCTGTTTGGGAAGAACTAAAAAAGAGCAACTAAAAAAGTCAATTTTCCCACACACAAAAGAAAAAAAAAAAAGAAGACACTATTTTAGCATTTCCTAAACACATCAACTATTTTAGATTCTAAAAAAAAAATAAAAAATAAAAAAAACTAAAAAAACCAATGCCCACTATGGAATTAGATGACTTTTCTGTTAATGGAAGACCTGGGATAAGGAAGTCAAAGAATTCTAAATGTCAATAAGTAATAATTTTCAATAATTGCATTTGTTGCATTTTGCGATCAAACTCAAGCCCATGCCCCTAACAATACGACTTATATCCAACACTTGCAAACTTTTCATGGAACCATATGGAGACTTGGGAAATGATATTGTTAAGAAAAATGAGTATAACCCCTTGGTAATTTTTGTCGCAATTTCATTCCAAAAGGTTTGTAATTTTTATCCATGAGCAAGTTCAATAGTGGAAAATTCAAGATAGCGGTTCAATGGTAATGATGTGATTCAAAGACACATACTTCTCCAAAGTTAAAAAGTAAAATTATGCATAAAAACAACATGTCATTTAGATTTTATCTTTGTTAGGTTTTTGGGTTGGGTTAATTTCAGATAATTTAGTTTATGGACAATAGGATAAATTAACTAGTGGGCTTGACATTTAGAACCCATAAACTTGGTTATTTGCATTATATACACCGTTTTGGAATCAAAACCCTTTTCTCTAACAGTGCCTGGTGCGTTCGAACAAGGCCGGTTCATTTGAATGCATGAGTGCATGGTCGGTATGATTTTCCAGTGTTTGATTCATTCAAACGCATGGAGGTTGAAATTTGAACGAAAGTGAGTTTTCCACCCATGACTAACCATTTGTTTATCTTGGATGAATCATCTATAAGAACAGGAGGATGCAATTAAATTAACCAGTTTCATTAAAACAATGAAACTGGGTTGCAAATTTTCATGATGTTTCTTCCAGACTATTCTAGATGTCCAAATTGTTCTCAAGTTGCATATTGGCAGATCCCAAGTTTTCTTAAGATGCTATAAACTTCCACAGAGTTTCCTTCATTTTTTTTTTCTTCATCATTTTTTTCTCAGATAGAAAAAATAAAATAGTATTCAAAAATTTTCAACACAGGGAAACGATGTTATTGATTAACTGCTTTGGAAGAAAATTCTCCATAAAAATAATATATGAGAGGGACTTGTAGCACTTCTTTCTTCTATGCTTTACGGTAAAAGGGAACTCAAAGTATTTCCCTAAAGAGAGAGACAATAGGTTACATAATACTTTAGAAATTTATAATGAATTCATAAAGAATTTACAATAGAAGGAAAAAGCAATGATGAACTCACAATTATTGCTCGCCCAAATGCACCAGCACTAACATAAGCCCATGTTCCTGGAAGCATCCCCAGCCAACTGCAAGAGAAATATTGGTTACAGTTTTTGTATTGAACATGGAAGACAATTGAAAAGGACTTGGAAGTATGAATGTAGACTACGGAGTTCTGTTTTGAATAAAATTTGGCAGTTCCTATAACCAGGAAGCTATATGGCGGTCTGTATATGAATCCAGAGACTTCATATCAATCATTCAGACGGTTGCCAATTTCTGAATTTTGAGAATTACAAAAAATAAAAATAAAATAGCAATCCATTTTTTTTTTAACATTTAAGAGATTGCAGCAAATACTGCATAAATCACACAAGGTATTACATACCTCAGAAAAAAATTAACTAAAATTGGACCTATTTTCAATGTTGAAGAACACAAAAAATAAATGGAAACATTTAAAACCTTCCTCAATAAGTTGAAACAGCAGTATTTTACTTACTGGGTAAGAAAACGAAGAACAGTTGAAACAGGAGAGATTTGAACAACTTAGCTTTGATAATTATCATTTCAAGGGAAAAGGTATCCTAAATACCAGCTAGTGAAATACACAACAATCAATCACTTAAATTGGATACACCAATCAAAAGGCAATCCAACTGATAATAGCAATGCATAAACCAATATAACACTATATATGTAAATATATTGAATAAACAAGAAGCAAACCTTCCCAACACATATGGAACAAACTTCACTGATGTAAGTCCATATAAATAATTTCCAAGAGAGAAAGGAAGCAAAGGGCTCAAACGGAGAAGCGTAACAACTCTAAAACCATTTTCTCCAATTGCCTTGTCAATCGCAAGAAATTTCTTGTTTCCTTCCACCATTTTAAGAATACGATCACGGGCAAAATATCTGGCAATTAGAAAGGCAACACTTGCAGCCACCTGAAAGGGTAAGAAGATACAAGTTCAAGTACACCCCATTTCCTTAAATTTGTTCTTTCATACTGGCAAAACTTCCAACTTACCGTTCCACTGATAGAGACAATGATAGTGCCAATTATAGAACCAAATAGCAGACCAGCTGACATGGTTAACGGGATAGCTGGTATTGCAAGGATCTAGGACAACATATTAGTCAAAGTGTCAGTAAAGTTGCATTAAAAAAAAATTCATACATGAATTATGATGGGAACTCTGCACATGTTGGATATTGTTTATGATCAAAGGGACTACTTATAGAAATTTAAGATAATTCTCACGTTCATATGTAGATCTGCTGAGAATTTGTGACTTGAAATAAAATGATAAATGATAAATGAAATTCATTCAACTGTTTTTAGCTTGTGATATGAGAAACAAAAACACATAGTGTTTACTATTTTTAACATGAACCTCCTAAAGCATGACATGATGGATGTTAGTGACAGATTAATGAAGCCTTGTAAACATATTATGCTTTAGAGAGAGGGCAAGTTCTTACTTCTAAGCCAGCATACACTGCTACAAATAAAGCATACCCAGCTGGCCCATAACCTGTTCATTAAGAAAACTTTTATGAGGGGGGGAAAAAAAGAGAGCATAATTCATAAAGAAGCAAAACTTGAAGCATACTATTGCAACTATAGATTCCACTTTAATATGAAGATTCCGATTGGAAGGTCCATGATCTAGAAATAAAATGTAGCATAGAGTTTCATGACACAATAAATCAGATAAGGAGTAGTGTTCTTTGCAAAAGAAGAATATAAAATAAGCAGAGCTGTACAATTTAGGAGTATGAGGAAACAAGATTATGTGAGGATGTAAACATGAAGCTTATTTTGCTCAAAAAGCTTTTCCCTTTGAGTTCCACCAAAAGCTTAGAGAGAGAGAGAGATCGTTCTTGGTTGACAATATTGATAATTTTTTCTTCGATTTGAGTACTTTTCTCTTTATTGCACATTGGCTTATAAATGGGCCTTGTCTTCCAAATAAATTACTAAAAAAGATAAAAAATAAAAAAATAGATAATTGTTTCACACAACAAGGGGCCCTTGTCCTTTTTGGTACTTAGAATGCATCTTAATCCACTTCATAGGGCACTCGGCTTGGTATCACACATTTCACACGGAAAATAAAAGAATAAAGATTAAATCTTTACAGAAGAAAAAGACAAAGACAAAGAAATGAAAGGAAGAACTTCCCAATTGAAATGTTATCTCAAATAGGATTTTCCTCTTCCAAAGAGAAACTTACGCTATGTTTGGATCATGGATTTTGGTAGGGATTTGGAAGGGGAAAGGAAAAATTGAGGGAAATTGAGAAAAAAAATTAGCTAATATTTCCTTTACATTTTACTCGTCTTTCTTTCCATTTCCAACTCCCTAGTCAAATCCTTAATCCAACACAATCTTAGGAAGCCCAACAACACTTAAAAGAGACACATGAAAAGAAGTTGCAAGCCTAAGCAGTGTGTTTAAATATAAATCATATACACACTATAACAAGCTACAAGTAATTCATGCACACCAAACCACACGATTAGAACACTTATCATTTTCTTCAAGTGAAACAACACAAGAGGGTCTCTGAACAAGAACATAAATAATGCTCTATTTGGTTCATTGGAATAAAATGGAATGGTGATTCCTTAGACTTTCTTATGAAATGACCATTCCCTTAACATAGTGAAAGACAATTCTATTTGTAATGTATTTGTCATTATATTTTTAGTCTAACCAAACATGAGAAAGAATATTTTGATGAAATGATCATTCCATTCCACTTCATTCCAATGAACCAAACACTACCTAAGAGTATAGAGTTTCTACAAAAACAGTAGCTTCAAGGCAGCAGAAAATCTAATTAATAATTTTTCACAAAAATGAACCCACATAATACAAATTCTCATTATACACCCAGCCGATTTTCAAGAAAACTAATATAATTTCCAATTCATCATCAAAGGCCTTCTAAAATAGAGAAAAGCTACTCTCCTAGACATAACTACCCAGATTTTTCCAGGTAGTGTGTTGTGTGGTGAAGATTAAATTTGAATTGTGTGGGGTCTATGTGTAGAATAAATCTGAACCACAACATAATAATTCTGGACAATTTCGGGTTGATAAGTCTGGTTCGTAGTATTTCTCACTAAAATATAACGAAAGAAAGCCCAAAATGAAAACATGATCTGTTAACGAATATCACTCAACAACACCCAAACCAAATGCTCACCAGGTCTCAAATGGATCCCAAACATTCAAAAATGGCTTCCTTGTTAACCCCTATATCTATATTATTGTATAGTGTTTACCACAAATCCCTAAAGATCTAAAATGCTTAGAGAAATTTACAAAAATTAAACTCAGTAACACTTAAACCAATCTATACAATCCACACCAAGTTCTCAGAAAATCAGAAGTGGGTACGGGGATTCATGAAATTATCTTCAATGAAATTAAAAAGTACAACACAAGAACAGCAAAATCAATGACATACTTTTCAGTATATCTCAAAAAAGTGCTTCACCTTCAATAGAACCAAAATTTTAATAATCCTGAGATGGGTCTTAAATATCAAGAAATTGCGTTCAACATAAGCAAATGAAAAAAAATTAATTAATTGATAAACAATTCTACAGCAATTTCTCAAAAATGTCTCACATTTAATTTTTCCTACATTGGAACCAAAATACCACCAATACAAAGAAAATCCACACCTAATTCTCAGAAATTCTCAAATGGGTATTTTGAATTCTTCAATGCAATTAAAAATCAATAAAAGAACAGCAAAATCAGTGACATACTTTCAGTATATCTCAAAAAATTGCTTCACTTTTAAGAGAACCTAAATTCTAATAATCCTGAGATGGGTGTCAATTATCATGAAATTGCGTTCAACATAACCCAATTATAATTAAACAATTTCACACCGATTTCTCAAAGTAGTCTCATATTTAATTTCCTACCATTGAAACCAAAATACCACCAACACATAAAGAATCTACATCTAATTCTTAGAAATTCTCAAATGCGTATTCTTTAATTCTTGCGAAACTACCTTCAATGAAACTGAACCAATTTCCCAAAAACGTCTCATATTTAAATTTATTTATTTTTCCTACATTGAAACCAAAATACACCAAAACAGAGAAAATCTACACCAAATTCTCAGAAATTCTCAAATGGGTATTTCTAATTCATGCGAAACTACCTTCAATGAAACCCGAAAACTGCGTCAAGAAGGCATTGATCTGGTCCTTGTAGATGTACCCAACAGCCCCAAATCCACCAACAACACCCACAAGCAACAGACCAGCCAAAAGGGTACCTTTAACAGCAGTCTCACCTTCCAATCCTCCATCATCACCACCACCACCACTATCCCCACCTTCGTCACCATCACTCTTTGGGTTCAGATTCAAGAACCTCCTGAGGCTCTGTGGGGCGTTATTAGGAGCCTTCTGGAGGGTCTGTTGTTGTTTCTTTGTTTCTTTAAGGGAAGAGCATGGTTTGAGGAAGTGGAAGCGCTTGGGTCTGAAACTGAAGAGGAAAGAAGAAGTGGAAGTGGAGAGAGAGAAGTGGAATTTTGGTCTGAGAGGTTGTTGGAGAGGAGGAGGAGGAGGAGGAGAGGAGAGGCACGGTGGCCTCTTCACTGGGGTGTGCATTTTAGACACTGTGAATACTAGTAGTAATCTTGTTTTTGTGTAGGATAAGAGCTGCTTTTTTATTTTTGTGTTGGTTGGTTGGAATGTGCCATGTAAATTGAAACCACCACTGAAAATGTGTGAAGCCTATTTGTGTTGATGAGGAAAGATTTTGTGGACAGCAGCACATGTTAGTTGTAGTAATAATAATAATAACTCAGTGAAAATATTCTATTAATGGTGTGAAAAATAAAAGGATAAAAGTTAGGGAAAATTAATAAATTTTTAATTTTTTTTATAATTTTAATTATTAATATTTATAATTTTTTTCATTAATTTATATTTTTTTTTTAAATTCACATATTTTCTTTAAAAGTAGACCAACCTTTTTTTTTTGTGTGCATAAATCATCACATGGTACCATGCGATTGTGTGTTTGTTTAATGATATTTTGTAATTGGATTGGATTGCCTTTAGTTGGCTTAACTCATAGGCTCTTTAGATCGGTTTGTTGTGGACTTATCTTAATAATTTAAATCGTTTATCTTGTAAAATCTATTAAGTAAATTATCGATATTAAATATCAGATTAATTAGAAATAGTCACGTGAATTGATCAAGTCTCATGTTTAATTTTAACAAGATTTATAAGATGTAACTTATTAAATTTGTTCATGAATTTGAACGAATTTAAATAGTTTTCAATTATATATAATTGGACAAGCACAGAAGCAACTCGAAGTCACTTTCCTTGTAAGACAATTAGCAATTGAATACCATTGAACAATGTGGGACATACCATTAGGCACGTCTAACCAGAGCTTCTAGGCACATCGACACCTAACTTTTAGTTAAAATTTCTAAACCAAGACGTGACGGTTGATGACAATGTGTGGTTCAGATCATCAACATGAATATAGATTAATCTCATGTAATACTCTAACTTTATTTATATAGTTTAGATATTTAATTTTAATAAATTCAAATTCGATGTAACGAGGGTGGTTATTTATGGCAAACATAACGGTAGTAAAAGGGGGGGATGGTGACAATAGTGATTATAGTAGTGATAGTGAAATGATTGTGATACTTACGATTATGATGCAAATAATAGTGGTGGTGGTGATGATAATGGTCATGATAGTGTGGGTGTTGATTTCCAACCACACTGTCAAATAGGAACTCAGCAGGAGAGCACAGGCAGAGTGGATTACGCCCGAACAACCTGTCACAGAAAGATAAGACTCCGGCAGTGATTCGTCCACCCGGGGCACTCCGACGATCAAGTCAGTATTCAATTATCTCTCAAAGATAGCAAATAGTGTTTAACTCACTAGCCAGAATACAAAAAGCGTACTTTAGATACACGAGGGTGCCTTACTTTTATAACCAGTACTAACCTGATCATTGTAGAAGCCCAACTTCAACGGATTCTGGCTCAATACTCATCTTGGACTCCTAGCCAGATAAAGATAAGCTCCCTAAGCGTTTTATCTTCATCCAGACTGAGGTCCTCTCCAATTCTAGGATTCCTGTCCTTTATCCGCTCATCTTGAATTCCGGTATCTCCAAAGATTACCTTAACGTTGTGACCAAGACACGTGGCACCTCGACTGACACTTTGGCGTCACCTTGGCCACGTGTTGCTATTCACAAAATATGTCCCCACAATTGCCCCCTAGGTTCTATTACCTCGGCATCCTGAGGTGATGGAACCTATATCGTTTGTCCATATAGCACGTTGGTTAAGATGTACTCTATCCTTCATGACCGAGATCACCATATGTCGGCCTCATATAACCAAGACTTTGCAGTCTACTTTATCAATGACTACGAACCAATAACCAATTTCTTCAAGTTTTTTAACCAGGGCCGTTCCTCTAGCCGAGGAACTCCAAGAGTTCTATCTACGCATGAGCTGTCACGCACGGTTTTCTCAACTGTCTCCGCCACGCGTCCTTTTTTCATTGATTCGTACCTAACACGCGCCATCAAGTCGTGTCGCTTCTGCGCATGCCGCCTGACAGACACGTCGTCCAAGGCACATCATTATGGTTTGCCGCCTTTTTGCTTTTTAACAAAACATCTCCCCCTCTCTTCATCTCTTCACTTTACATTCTTGCATTCTTTCTACGTTTCAAGATTTTCTATTTCTTAACAAATCCTCTACCTCCATTGCCGTTTTCATTGAGCTCTCTGCAACTGTACTCCATTCATCTCCTCTGACGAAGCTTTCACCGTTCTGCTCCACTCATTTCTGCCTTCTGACTCCGGCGAACCTCAACCTCGGACCCAACTGGTGAGCTCTTTATTCCTTTTCAATTTTCAGCTTCAATCTTCCATGATTTTGAATACGTTTCTCCCTTTATCACCTGTCCATTTTTTGCTATTGAATCACTCGGGTGTACTCCATATTCCTGATGGGGATTCCATGCCCTTCCCAGTAGTGGCCTTTATCTAGTGTGGACTCCGGTTCCCTCTAGACATCCTTTTCCGACAAGTCCTTTATTATTACAAGCTTAACCCGATGCAACTGGCCATTAACTCCTATAGAATCATTAATGGTATAATTGCTCTAGCTAGCCGAGAAAACGCTAGGATAACACTAGCCAATATCCAATACTGTTATACCATGTGTGGCCTGAAACCCAAAAAAGCTACGTCTATTACCTCAGGCCGAGTTCCACAGCCTATAAACTCATAGCCGATCTCCCAGACTCCAACAAAGGTACTGGAGATGATTATTTCATCGTCTCGGGTAACTGGGAGTTCTCACCTAATGACGATCTCCACCTCTATCCTTTGAGCCAAGCAGTGTTTAAAGAGGGTGATAGTAAGAACCAAGTGTCACTTTACATGCTTTTAAAGTCTTATCACTTTATTCCCTTTATATGTTCTAATGTCTGATTTTTGTACTTGTAGCTCTCCCTTAGCCATCAAAAGATTTTCGCAAAACCTTCTTCCCCAGCAAAGACTTTAAGAAGCTACTGGGCTTGCTAGTTGACCAACACAAAGCCCTCACACTGCTCAATTATATACCGACATACAAATCCGTACTGCCCGGCGTCCCCAAGAAGAGTAAGTCTCCACATTCAGCAACAACTCCCCTTGTCACTTCATCACCACGGCCTGACCAAGCCTCAACTTCTGATCCAGCGGAGCAGCCATCAACATCTGCTCCACAACTGATTCCTCTTGCCCAGTGCAAACGTCGACGCCGAGCTCCAATCTTCGCTTCTGCCAGCAGAATTCATAGCCGAAATTGCCAATCCTTTGAGGCGTCGGCTTATGATCTGACAAACCCACCTACTGCACTGCCAGCAATCCGCTTCGCTACCAAGGTTACTGTTGTTGCCACCGTCAAAGAGATGAGCCTTGCAAAGATCATTCCAGATGACCTTTTAGCTGACTTCCCGGGGGTGGTGTCAGTCCACTCCTCCAGTCTTTCCCAAGCCCAGCCAAAACCCAAGGCAAAGAGGGTTAAAAGGGTTAAAAGGGCCAAGGCCAAGCCCAGCGCCACTGAGGTGGAGTCAGAGGACATAATACCCATCTCAAAATTGGCCGAAGTAGAGCAGTCGGCTGAGAAGAGGCTTGCCGAAGCCGAGGCATTCGACCAAACCCAACTAAAAAAGCTAAGGTCCAGCGGGTCTTCTGAGCCTTCTGGGTTTCTCATCCCTTTGGACCCCGACTGTTAATGTCGGAGACCGACCTCTTCTTGCCGGGGATAGTGCCCTCGACAGTTTGGAAGTTAGAGCCACCATTTCCATTGCCGTTCTTCTTCCAGCCGACATCAATCAGATGCTGAGCTCTTGAAGTATGAGAACTATGCGATGATGATGTAGTATTGCGTCTTGGTAAGTCTTGTGACTTCTTATTTAACTTTTAGCTCTGGTCTTCATACTTAACTAACTTCCTTTGCAATCTTGCAGGCTATCTAGCAGGGTCACTCCCTTGCAGTCAAAGACCAATGAATTTAAAAAGGAACTGACCCAAAAAACCAAGGAGGTAGCCAAGCTACTGTCCTCTTTGAACAAAGCTGAGCCCCGTATCTGAGGCCTTCTTGACCAGGCCAAGGTTATTGAGTTGGCCCTAAAAAATGTCGATGACTGCGCCGAGGCTATAGAAAATGTAGCCGAGGTTGCTAAGGCCGAGGCAAAAGAGGCCAAAAAAAGAGATGCCGAAGCCCAAACTCAACTTTAAACGTCACTGGCTACGAAGGAGGCCGAAATCAAGGTGGTCGACGAAAAAGCCTACGCCGAGGGGGCGGCCGATATACGTGACGAGTACAAAAGGCCAGGCATGCAACAAGGGTTACACCCTTGGTTGGATGGCTGCCTTGAAGGAGTTGGCAGTCCCTGAAGGTTCACCACTGTATGATGCCAGCTGACTTGTTTTACCACTCCCTCCTACTCCAAGCCAATTTGAGGATGAGGTTGAGACAGAGGAGGATGTCGAAGCTGATAAGTCTGGTGGAGTTGGTGCTGCTGGGCCAAGTCCCCAACTCTGAATAACCAAGTCCTAGACTTGACTTAGGATGAGGAAGACGAGGTCTCAAAAAGTGCCTCCCCTAAGAAGACTACGTCTGAGGTGCATACCACTGAGAAGAGCCTCGATCAAACTCTTCTTGAGATTGATGCCGAGATCGAGGCTGACAAAACTGCCGAGAAGATCGCCTAGTTGTCTTCTGAGCCCGAAACTTAGCCAGCCGATGACGCCGAATAGTCTACTTAGAAGCTTTTCCTTATTTCTACTTTGTAATAGTTTCCGCTGTAGTCTTTGCAACAATGTTTTAATTTCAGTTTGGCTGATGTGTTTTTTTGTACTCGAACAAGTTTACCTTTTGAATGCAAATCTGATTTCTCTTTCAAAGTGTTGTATGCCTTCCTTTCTCTCATGTATGCTTACAACTTTCATACTTAGAATAATTTGGTATGTCTTCAAAGTACACCTTAACTATGCAATATCCTCGGGGTAAAGTACCTCGGATATATCTTCTGATTATATATCTCGGCCTTGGCTTAACACTTAAAAAAATTTTGAAATATTTTTACGAGTGTTGTTTCTTTAAACTTGCCACTTCACTCTCACTTACTGTCTTCTATC